TTTTTAAAAAATGAGATGATGGGATGGGGTAGCTAGGAGCCTGGTAGCTCAATTACAAGATTATTTTATGATAATCTTAGAAGAGATAGCTTCTACTGTGAAGAGGTGGGAATCTGAAGTAGGTCATGAATTTTGGAAATTATTTGAAAAATATTTTAAAGATATTGTAGAAAAAATTAGATAACAGAAGTATTTTGTATTTGTAATTCTTTGCAGTTTCAAAATATTTTGATTATGCATTTTCTGTTTTGATGCTGTCAGTAACTCAGAAAGTGGGTTATTTCATTTCTATATGAGGAAATTGACTTCTTGAAAGGTCACCATGTAGCCAGGAACACATACAGTGAGTGATAGCTTATGTATAAGGCAAAGAATAATTTTTTAGTTCAGTGGTACTGGGGTTGAAACCCACGGTATTTGCATATAGCTACATTTGCAGTACTATTTTTTATTTATTTATTTATTTTGAGACAGAATTTTGCTAAGCTGCCCAGTCTGGGCTGGAATGTGTAATTTTCCTGCTTCAGCCTCGCAGTGTGCTGAGGGTACAAGGATGTGTTCCATAGTGGTATCTCTAATTTCTCTACACAGGTTTACTCAGTGCTTAAGAATACAGTAATACGTACTAAGACCTGACCTCAATGAGCTGTGTTGTAATCTATTTACTTAATATTTAATCTTCGTCAGTTATTTTGAGTATCTCAGGCCAGGCATAGGATCAGTTAAATAAGCTCCATGCAGTGTCTTACAAGTACATGTGAATACCAGAAGGTGTTTTCAGTTAAGACAATGTGTCAGAACATGTTTAGTTTATGATAGTGGGAATTACATGCTATTGGGTCTGTTACCTGTGACAGTTGAAAATAGTGATTTCTGATATCAGAGACTGTGCTTACTGTAATCACTGTTAAAGATCAGTACATTAAGGACCCTTAACATGCACCATTATATTGATTTTTCCCTTATTAGAAATTATGAATTATGTCCCCCTTTTACTTATAACCTCTAAAAGTGCCACAAATAGCAGAACTGCATCTTCATTTTCTCATCACATCCTCTCTCACATACATAATACTTTTGCTGCTCTTTTCTACTTGGCTTTGAGTCACTGCTGTGATTCTAGCCATTGAACAGTCTTTCAAGTTAAGTGATTAGTATTCTGGTCAAATAAAAATTGTTGTGAGTTTGGCATTGTCACCAGTATAGCTAATGTAGTTTTGCAAGTGTATTATCAGGTTCATTTTCAGAGGCATATAACAACTGCGTTTCTCAAAATTTTCCCAAATATTGATAATGTGAAATTTATTGGGATTTACTCTAAAACTAGATTCATAGTTCTAAGGTTGGGGGAACCAGTAATGAAGGCACATACATTAGTGCTGCTTACTATTTGAAAGAAATGAAACTGACTTTCTTTCTACAGTCTTTCTTTCATATTTTTGTCTTACTTGATTAAATTGTGCTATTGTGTTAATAAATTCAAAGGAAATATCAGTTTCCAATGGAAACAGTTAGGGTCCTTTAGAAAAGTATTCTAATGATGATGTGTTGAGTACTGTTGATATCTGATATCCAGTAGATATGAATTTGCCTGGCTTTATTCCTCTCTTACTAGTTGTTCATAAAGGTGTGAGCATCTTACTATATGTGTACTTGAGTTTCTCTCTAAATTAAGTAAAGAGTGGAGGACAAAGAGAGAAGGGTTTCTATCTATTGAAAAGATACAAAGTTATTTTTTTAAAGATTATGGTATATGCTATTTACTAATTAAAATTTATAAACATTTAAAAATATTAGCTTTTCCAACATACCTCACAGAGCTAGAGAAATCGTTCCTAAAATTTATTTGGAACCAGAAAAGACCTAGAATAGCAAAGGCAATCCTGGGCAATAAAGACAAGACAGGAGGCATTACAATTCCTGACTTGAAATTATACTACAAGGCAACTGTGATAAAATCAGCATGGTATTGGCAACAAAATAAACCTGAGGATCAATGGAATAGATTAAAAGATGCTGAA